CACACAAATTCCATGTGATTGATGTATCACAAGATATGATATTTAATTTTTCAGATTATACTAAAATATTGTATAAAAAAACAATAACTAGTATTGATAAACAAAAGTTTTGTATTATGTCCTACAGAAGTATAGAATACAGACAAGATGGTTTATTTTGCAGTGTAGCTGCAAATTCAACTGCAAAAGAAGAATTTCATCCTGAAAAAAAAGGTGCTACATTGAAGATGATAGAAGAAAGATTGACAAAACTTCATAATGGAGTAATACAAATTAAAGAAGCAAAATTCAATGATGTTCAAGATCTTGCAACAAAGTATGTCCCGGCTAATAATATGTGGTTTTATAATAATCTTGTTAAAGAAATTAATGAAAACTTACCAAATGATGACTAAGAAAAAGTATTTTTATGTTCCTATGTATACAAATAATTTGTGATTAACTAATACCTGATTATTAGTTCCTAATATTAAGTTTAAACTGTTTAAAATATTTTTGTTATGTTTATTATATTTATGTTTTATTTTATTTTATTATAATCTTGTTAAAAAAAATGATAACTAATCAAATTTATTATGTGTAAAAATTAAGTATTTTTTATATTCCTATGTATACAAATAATTTGTGATTAACTAATACCTGATTATTAGTTCCTAATATTAAGTTTAAACTGTTTAAAAGATTTTTGTTATGTTTATTATATTTATGTTTTATTTTATTTTATTATAATCTTGTTAAAAAAATGATAACTCATCAAATAATTTTTACTTTTAATGTATTAATTTTTATGATTTTATGTACACAAATATTTGGTGTCAACTAATACCACATTATAAGATCTTAATATTATGTTTCAACTGTTAAAATAATTATTATTATATTTATGTTTTATTTGTTTTTATACATGCTCAAGGTGTACATTTTTATCATTTTTAGATATATTTTCTAATTATTTATTATGTGTTCATTAATAGGTACTAATATGCTCATGATTATATTCTAAAATGAAATATCCTACCAAAGTAGTTTTGTTAAGTATTTTTTTAGTCGTAAAGGATATCAAAGCTACATTGATGAATGCATAAACCAAAGTTTTACTTATATTTTGGGTCAAAAAACCAGTTATCTCCATAAAACATATAGTTACTCAATTTAATCATTATAAAAGGTTGTGATCCAACCGATGATTTTGATTATAGGTGTAAATTACACATTGCAAATGTTTTTTGAGATTATTCAATACATATGATGAAAGAATTTCTGAGATAAAAAAAAAACAAAAAACATGGATTTTAATTTTGGGGCAAAAACCCATATATCTCCACTAAATTAAACTTGAATTAATTAATTAAAATTATTAAAATTTATTTAAAAGTAATAAGGTTTTATGGTATGTTATATATACATCCAAAGCATAAAAATAAGTTTTTGAAACAGTAACATGATGAAAGGTGGGTCAGTAAAAACATTTTTTATGTCTCCTGAACAATTTCAAAAAGTGGAGATACCTTGTTATTGCACCGGACCCTTCAATTTAAGTTTACATAAGTTGCAAGTGCAATGTACGTTAGGTTAGGAGGTCACAGTGAGGCCAGAAAAACAAAAAGAACTTTACAATTAATGCTATAATAGTTGAAAGAATATAATGTGTTAACTTATGGAAAAATGCATTTTGATAACATACCTGTCTATTTCATTTCCGTTCCATAATTCCATGGTCGCAGCATCGTGCCCTTTATATACATATTTATACAAATACTGAACACTCTTCACAGTAGAGCATACCTCAACATTAATGTGTGCATCGTATTTTGCTAAAAGGTACGGATTGTAAGGCACGACAAACTCGTTGCTGACCTGTTGATTTCTGACCCTGGCCACAGGTCCGTTGTTTGGCCGATAGTACTTTGGGTAACCACCGTCAGAAATGTATACAGTCTCTTCGCTGTATTCTTTTGGAAACTTCTTTGAACAACTGTTGTCCACCATGCATGGGCTGTTTGGGTTCAGCGTGCCACACGGCCCGTGAATCATGTGTCTCGTCACACAATCGAATAGACGCGGAGCAGTCACCGGGTCTGGCAAGAAGGCGCACACTACATTGTCGACGTCGTCGGCATTTAGCAACTTGCTACCCTCACTCAGAATGATCAGTATGTGGGCGTGCGGCAGTCCTCGTTTCTGAAACTCGACAGTATAAACATATGCATCGACATTACCAAATATATTGTTCACCGTTATGTCGCGCATCAGCTGCTTGAGTTTCGCGTTGAACACTCTGGACACCAGGTCCGGTCTGTCGGTTGCCGTGGCCCATCTCGGTAGGTTCTGTGTGATCTCTGGCCAGCTAGGATTACACGTAAACGTAATAAAAAGATTAGGCTTTCCACACTTACTCACAATGGCCATCGCGTCATGATAACACTGTTTCATGAAACGGGGACCACCTGTAAACGACGATGGCAAAATCATCCTACGGCCGACGCCCGCCACGGGTGCGTCAATTTGGAGCTGTTGGTTGATGTGATCCACAAGTCCCTGATACGATTCTGCGAAAAGCTCAGCTTGATGATATCTAATGTACATTAAGTTGTTCGCTTCCATTCTAACGTAATGATCACCCACAAACTGTTGCAACAGATATCGACCATTATGTAATAAACTCATAGCATCGTGGATTGTGTCGTTGTTGCCATTGTAACGAATAGCAAGACGATAGCAAGTATACTCCCTGATACTGTTCCGATTGCGAACAGGGGTTCGGCGAGGGCCCTCTTGTATCAAACGTTGATGCCAACCCAGCTCTCCTCGTGGAAAGAGTAGGGGATACAGCATTGGATCCGCGTTTGAAGAGCCGGCTGGTATGGTCTGTAGTCGACGATGTTGCGGGTCAATTGGATTCCGGTCGTGGATCACCAGATCGACGTCTGTTGGCGGTTGACCGTCATCACCGACAAACACTACTGCGACTTCGTTGACCGTTTCAGGCGGTGGGTTGTATCGCCTCCTGTCCACATTTCCGTCGGCGACGAAATGCATTCTCACCCTCCTTGGAAGCAACTGAGGATCCCTGTCGGGAGCGTTTTCTCTAGCCCACACTTCTCGCATGGTTCTGTAATGAAGTAACACGGTCTTAGGATTTATTGTACAAAATTGAAATTTATTAATCGTTGTGCAATAGGTACATGTTTGTAGCGCATATATATGTGTATTGTTAATGTTCTCAGAAATGTCAACGTCAGAGTCCTATTTAATTAATCCTCACACATAATATCAACAAAGAGTGATGTGGTAGTGTAAAAAAATGACAGAGAATAGCATAATGCAAAATGTATTACAATGTATAATACCAAATGTTTTGTTTAGATACATTGAATTGAAGTGTATTAAAGTACATAAGGAACACAAACAAAAGTAATTGAAATCATTAACTCTAACTCTAGTCACGTGTGTTCATTTGAAATGAAATGAGAAATATTCAAGTAGAAGTTGAGGTTTGTACATAGGAGTGTATCCACAGAAAGAAGAAAATAATGTAAAGAAATGTAAGCATAGGTATAAATGAAATAGAAAAAAACCAATATCTAATGACAATCGTAGACAGCAGTAACGCAATTTAAATAAGTTATACTTTATGTTAAGTGTAGTGCCTATGGTAAGTATAAAGTAAGTGTGGCATGAGAGAGTAAGATTGGTTGTAAGTTAGTGATGAGTTAAAAATGAGTTGTGACAATGCAATAGTGTAGTGTATAGCACCAACGTTGTGTCATACATTGAAGTATAGCAGTGTATGTATAGAATTTTCCATATACCTACCAAGTATCTTAATACTTGTAAGTAAGAGAAATAAATCTGCATCCGTAACTGAATATGAACAAAATAAAATAAACTTTTAATTTGTGACCGAACGTTGTTAATATAATATTTAGGCAATAATGTGTTGTGATTACGAATAAGAATTTATGTTTTTCTAGTTATTACTCATTAAAGTAAGCTACTTTGTAACTAATTTTAAATGTATGAATGCAAGCAAAATAAAATATGTATAAATTAATAGTGTAAGTAGGCAGGTAAATATACACTAACATAAGGCTAATGAAATAGTGTAATTAATTATTACAATTGGAAATTGGAATAGTGACATGTGTACTCGCTAGCTAACTAAATATTTCAATGTTATGAATCAATGTTAACATGGTTTGTCTGTAGTGTAGCGTAATGGAAATGTGGATTGTTCAGTAAAATTAATTAAATATATTACTCGAAAGCCTGTGCGAATGGATTGATGCCCCGTAGCAGGCCGTCTAAGTCTTCGAGCACATTTGGCAATAGACGTTGTGCGGCAGGCAGTAGTTGCTGCTGCTCCCTACGAATCCGGTTTGCCTCGCCAGATTCGACGAAATACAGCTGGCAGAATCTGCGTTGGATAGGTTCGTTCCCGATCAAGTCATTACTTATCGTCCAATATCCCTGCCCATGAACAGTAAACACATTCGGTCCCCGACCTGGCAAGCGCCGTGTGTTGAAGGCGGTGGAGAATGCAGCAAATGCCAAAGTGTTGTTGTACCGGCGGATGTTATTTCGATAGTGTCTACCTTCCACCGAATCTTCAACCAACAACCTCTGTAGTAAATACGGTGCAGGTGTCAACACACGCGGTCCTGAAACGGCCATCAGACCGTTGTTGCAGCATGTAGAAAAATTATTCGGGCTTGTTTCCTCGCACTTAAAGTGGCGGGCCCTACAATACCGGCATACGTAATTCAACGCGCCTATGTAGTGTGGTTCCGGTAGTGGGTGCTGAACCCCAGCCGGACGGTCTAGCAACAGTCTAGCGACAACCGGGGCGATTTGTTCAACCTGAAATTTAAAAGATACGGTTGTATATTATTTTTTTTCTTTATGAACATTAAATGAATAATATAATTTATACAAAATATATAATGACCTCTTGAATGTCGTACAGTGGTGAAAGGTCGAAAACACCAACAAAGTTATCATTACTTATTTTTTTCTGATACTTGTTCGTCTCCGTTCACGATAACTATTTCAACGTTGTCGTCGTTCATCGCGACTTCGTCTGCTTCAACGTTGTCATTGTCCATCATGACTTCAACTACCTCAACGTTGTCATTGTCCATCATGACTTCAACTACCTCAATGTTGTCTTCCAACAAAAGTTCATCCCTCGGAACTTGTACCCCGGCATCAACGTTTTCCACATGATCTTCTCGTTCTCTGTATGGTCCGACTACCTATAGAATCATAGACGGTTAATTTAAATGATTTATAAGAACGGTTCATTCTAGACTGAACCAAATATACAATAGTGTATTTATTGTGAAACAATAACATGGTAATAATATTTTATTTTCTATTTGTTTCCAATGCACAATACAGTACCTATAGTTATTAAGTCATTAACTTTGATGTCAATTAAAAGTGTAATGCAATGTAATCAAAAAATGTTGTAGTTTGTAGAATGTACCAAACCATACATGCCCCAATTTATTAATTGATTTTCTATGTAAGAAAATGGAATTGCAGTTTATAAATATTAAGGTTGAGGTGTAACAAAAAAAAAAAGAAATTTGTTAAATTACATAAGGTTTGTGGTGACAAATAATTTTTGTGTCATCATTCGTATATAGTATCGTTGAGTTTAGTTTAATGTAATATATATTAAAAAAAATGAATTGTAAGTTAAGTTAAATAAGCAAACAAATTATAAATTATGAGCACAGTATATTCACTATTGGAGTAGTTAACTATGGTTATAGTAATTACAGTTTATAACGTCACATAGAATTTTTAAGTGAAAAAAGTCATCTGAATAACATTAATACAGGATTGTTACACTTAACTTAATGTAGAATAAATTGAATTGTCAAAGACAATGAAGATATATGTGTATGTGAAAAGTACCTATAATAATGTAATATATTTTGTTATATGTATGTTATTAGGTATAAATGATGAGCAAAGTGAATCGACTATTATAATAGTTAAGTATGGTTATAGTAATAATAGTATATAGATCACATGGCATTTTTAAGTGAAAAAACTCATCTGATGACATTAATAGGTACAATATTGTTAAACTTAACTTAATGTAGAATAAATTGAATTTTCAAAGACAATGAAGATATGTGAAAGTGAAATGTACCTATAATAATGTAATTGTATTTGAATGTAAAATGTTGTTAACAAAAGTAAATATTTTGGTGGTAGGTATGTAAATATTTTATTAATAAAAAAAACTATAAGGATATAAGAGTGTTAGTGAAGTTAATGAGCTATATAGAGTAATGAAACATTTGTAATGAAATATATATGTAGGTGGGTATTGCATAATTCAACAACTGTAGGATAAAATTAACATATTCAATATATCATCGTGCTCTAGCGTAGACCGTTTTGACCGTTTTGTCATTGTTTCTCCATCAAAAAGTGTATGTTTAGCTATACAGCCAAGTAGGTAGTTAGGTAGGTAAGCGATATGTATTGTAATACAGTGTTATGGTTGTGTTGAAATGAATGAGTAGTGATGCTTGGAGATGTATGTATGATATGAAGATACTCACCAAAGATGGCACCGCTGCGCGGTCCAGACGACGGCGTCGTGCATCCCCTTCAACGTAGTCAATACCAGGAACAAAATGCCTCGAACACAACCTAGAGCTTAGGTTTACATGAAAACCTTGGTTCACCACAAATTCCACCCACTGAAGACGACGCCCGTCAGTTGGAATTCTAAGGATGAATGTGATTTATAACATGTTACATTATTGATATGTGTTGGGTGAAATTGTAAATACCTGTGCAGCGAAACGTTATTGTCACCATCCACGTTTCCACAGATCACACATCGGTTCACCATCGTGAATAGCCTGGAACGCATCGTATAATCGTTTAAAGATTTAAAATAATACATAATATATAATTAATTATAATGAAAGCATTGAAATCATTTTGAAAAGATGATCGTATCGGTATGTTATCAGTAGGGATTTTGCAACTTGTGTTATTTTTAGAATTGATAATATAGAATATAGATTGTACATATAGGTAGGTACATGAAAAATGGAAAAATACGAAAAACGACATACCGAGCTCGAGGAATGTTAAAACCACAAAATAAAGTAGAATGAATACACGCAATGTTAACGCAAATACTTAAGATACGGACGGCCTCTGTCGAATGACGTGACTGAGCCGAGTACAAATGTGGATATAAAAAACGTTGTATTCAAATTGTATACGCTGTTTATGGGGATAAAGAAACACGAAACGCGCCATGGTTAAAATGTTATGTACAAATGTTTGCAATGTGAACAGATGCCTTAAGAGTTAAGATGGCCTTAAACGATACGCGCTACCATGAATCCCTACATGTTATGTAATAGATGTACAAACGCACGGGATAGGTAATAATGCTAATATTATTATTGTGTCTGTCAAAATTGTACTCACCGGTATCAAAAATCGCTTGATCCAAAACAAAAAATACGTTAGAAGGAAAGCACTTGTTAGGAGTCTAGAAATATTAAAATGTGCAAAAGAATCAACAGGGTTCCTGTGCATATAGAAACGTCTCCTTCGAACGTTGGCATTAGCCTGACGTTGGATAACACGGTACGGTTCCGCGAGCTTAGTTACCCTCTCCATTCCACCGCCGTGCGATAAGTTTTAACTAATGATGGTCCAAAGGGCATTTAATGTTACGGACAGACGGTAATAAAAGATACGAAATAAAATACAAACTATATTTATATAACAATCATGGAAATTTTGAAAAATTTTGAAAAAATATGCAATTATAATAATTCCTAATAAATTCCTAATAAAACAAATATAATAAAACAAATATAATATTCCTAATAAAACAAATATAATAAAACAAATATAATATTCCTAATAAAACAAATATAATATGTACCTATTTATTGTGTGATATAATATGACAATGACTTTAAATTAAATAAATAATAATAATGTTCCTGTATTATTATATTATAATTATATTATAATTTATATACGAAAAATATAGTGAAAAAAAAATGCAAAAAAAGTCGAGATTTCGGGCGGCCGTGTAAACCATATGGATATGGCAATTCCGATTTCGACGCCCGGAGAGCGTACGACGGATTCGAACTCGGGACCTAGTGTTTCCTACCTAACGCCTAACCTACTCGGACACAGTTTGAGATATGAAATGCGGTCAAAACATCAACTCTTAAGCCGTGCGTCTACGGAGCGACGTAAACCGATATATTCGATGATCATCGATGTAATCGCATATAATTCGCTTGTAATACTCGCATCTCCCATATATATATTTTAATATTTAACGGGGCGTGTGAAAAGCGTTTCCCGTTAATAATTATTAAATCATAGGGAAAAATTGAATTATACCCGTATATACATGTATATATACGCGTACGGTAATTTCTAAACGCGATTGCGAGGCGAACGAACCGATTTCGGGGGAAAAGCGCATATAAACGGCTTTAAAAAGACGTCGACTACACGATTCGGGCACAAACGGGTGCGAATAGACGAAACGGTGGGAGAAAAGGAAAAAATCGGCAAAAAAGTCCGGTCGGGAGTGTATTTATTGATCGACATTGCACGAATATAAACCGCACACCGGTGGCTTCGAATTAAGTATATAAAAGGGCGAAAAGATATCGTGTAAAAACAGCTAATTTTCCGAAAATCGGCGAAATGATAGGAAAAGAGGTGATAACGAAAAACGTTTTAAAACCGACCGCCGCCACTGCGAAGGTACGCGATTGGTCGCGCTATAAGGAATCGACGGGACACGGCCGGCGGGTTGGGGAAACGGAGCAGTGCTTCATTTTTTACGCCAAGGGTTCGCTATAGCCGGCGTTTTCCTTTCCATTGGACCCCTATATTATCAGTCAGCTGTTCTTCATTTTATAGTATTAGACTAGCCCTTGGTCTAGCCGGGGGAGACCCCCGGACCCCCCAGTGTTTGTTTGTAAGTGAGTACCGATTTCGGAGACAATGTCGTTGGAATTATAAAAATCACAAGGGTTGTAAGTCAAAAGTTTAGGATTAGTGATATGGATTGGAGATAAGGCTTGGGGCATTGGCAGGAATATTTAAAAGTTTGATCGTCTAGCAATCCGTCACAAACATTGTAAATAGATACGATCTCCAGGATCTCTAGTCAGCTGCTTTTGGTTGTTGAAATTATTAAAAATTGTAGTATCGATATGTGTATTTGATTGTCTAGCTATCAGTCATCAAATCACATAGGTAGGTAATCCGACTGCGTCGGATCGCGGACAATATGTGAAGCGTATATTACCAGGTATGCAATCCACCTGCGATTGGTGTAATACAGTAGCGTATCTAGGATTTTTTCAAGGGGGGGGATATAAAAATTTTGTAATGTGTAAAAATAATAATAATAATTAGTAGGTATCATAATCTAGTATAGTTTAATTTCTAAAATCTAAAACTACCTAATACAAACTCTAAAAACAACAACCGATTGGAACTTTTATTAATTATCATTGATCACGGACTTCAGTAAACTTACAACAGTCGTGTATGATTCAACTATTCTAGGTATTGTGTTAATATTTAAGTTGAGTACCTTATTCTACCTAAATTAAAATGTATTTTTTTCGTGACGCGTGTTTACATTAATCTTTTAATTTGATCAAAATATGACTGGGTTGACAAAAAATAAATGGGTTGTGTGGCTAAAAATATTAAATTAACGCAAACTGCTCAAGAATCGAAAATAATTTCCGGTATGTTTAATAAACAGATAAAACTTGAGGTGATAACTAAGAAATAAAAAAAAATATATTTTTATTTAAGATAATATTAATTTGTAAATATATTGTATACCAATATAAGAGTAATAGAGTATGGACAATAAGTGAGGAATCAGGTAAAATTGATTTATAGATAATGCAGTTGATATATTTTCAAAAAAAAGAAGATATCCTAATAAACTACTAATATTTTCGTTTTTCAATATAAATATAGCCGTATAATAGTTTGCAGACATTTAACTGATATATGTATACAATTGTTTTTTTTTAAATGTCTGCTACCTTATATTTAAAAATTATGTTACCTAGTTAATAAAAGGGTACCATAAACAAATTTAAGCAGATAATATGTAGTTGTGAGCAGTTTTTTTTTACCCATTCATCGGGCTGGTCAAAACCTTTGCCCCCTCTATTGAAAAACGAAATGATGCCACTGGTTGTATGATATTATTGAATTTAATACCATTCATTTTCGTTCATAGGTTAGGTTTTAGGTGAGCTGTTCAATCTTCATACAACTATCAAATAATTGTTTTAATAAAATTAAAAAAATTAAAATAACCTTCCCGGGGGGGGGGATATGACCCCCATATCCCCCCCATAGATACGCCACTGGTGTAATACCGTGCCCCGTTGTATGTCCTGTTCTGTTTTGTTGACTTTATAAGAAATTAGGAATTGCGAATAATTGTAATGGAATGTCTAGCTATCAATCGTCGCTGTATGGTAATCTATGAGTTATAGGGCATTTGTGTATGGCGGATTGGATACATAACCCGGGAACAATTGCAGTTTAGCTCCCCCGCGCTATTTTGAATTTTTTTTATCGAAACTTATGTAACTTTTCGAGTTAAGAACGATGGTGCAATCAAAATTTGTCGCTCTCACTTTGTTTCGAAGTTATGGCCTTCCAAAGTTTTTAATTTTCGTTTATATATGCATGCGCGCAACACTACCTACTATATTACCGCGCGGAGGACCTCAACAGTGATTACCTACACAGTTTGCGGCACTCGTCGCTGCGCTACTCGGCGCCGTCGCTGCGCTCTGCAAATAGAAAATATCCCCCGACTTGCTATGCAACACCACCTTAAGTAGGTTACAGGGAAAGTAAAAAGTTATGTCGTAGTATATGCCGTATATGGGCAGTATTATACAGTTTGCGGCACTCGTCGCTGGCTCCGCAAATCAAAAATATCTCCCGACTTGCTATGCAGTACCACCCCTTAAGTAGGTTACAGGGTAAGTTATTTCGTAATACAGTGTTACACAGTTTAAGTATAAAAACAACTAAAAAAGTCCTCCGGTCGCCAAACTCGAGGTCCTCGTGCGGCATTAGTAGTGTTGCGCGCATGCGTCTAAATCGTTAGCTTTGGGAGGCTATAACTTCAAAATTAAGTGAGAGCGACAAATTTTGATTGCATCATCGTTCTTAACTCGATGAGTTACATAAGTTTCGATAAAAAAAATTCAAAATGGCGAGGGGGAGCTAAATTGCAATTATGCCAATATAAAGTGTGAATTGCAGTAAATAAACTGTAATGATGTATAAGACATAAGTACACGGGGTGAACAATTAAGCTTTAAATAATAAAAAAAATAGTACTCATTAGTCTATAAAACGCCAAACGTAGTAAAAAAAAAAATCGAGCGTGTAAGAAGTACGCGGGGATGAAGTGAAACTTCTTTCAGTCATACAACTGATATGAGGTTTTGTAATAATAATAATAATAATAATCTTATGTTAATTAATGGTATATATATATTTATGGTATTAATAATGATATATCAAGTAGGTACCTTCTACAAAGTATACATGTAGGTTACTTATATATAATATAAATAATTGTACTTGTACCATTTTCTATCCAAGTATAAAGGAAACATATTGGTACGTTGGTAATGGTAAATATGTAGATGAAATCAAGTATTAATTAAATATTTATTATTATTATTTATTAAATAGTTTAATTAGTATAGTATAGTTTAGTCATACCATTATGCAATTTACCTGCCAGAATTTAATTAAATACATTAAGTTATATTTTGTTTTCTCACCTAAAAA